GCTAATAGCCATTGATGAGATATCTCCTCAGTCAGTTGCTTGAGTATTCTAGGATGTATTTCATCAGGCCCAGGTGACTTAACCTATCTCTATGCAGAATCCATCAAGCATTCTGGGCCCCACACAAAGCCATGTAATTATCTCCCCATGCTGGAGCATTTCAGAATAGCTTGAAAACGGGAAGGCATCGGCTTCTGAAGGTTTGTGCCTTTATTTATGCAAATATATGGAAATACATGCAAATCTGCAATCCTTTAAGGCCAAAAGGATTTGGGCAGGTATGGAGGAGGGAGAGATTCACAGGCAGCAATGGCAGAAAGGTAATGCAAACAGACATGACCCTGGAGATAGTTGCATGGCATTACAAGAAAACAAAATAGCCAGAGCGACCAATGCAAGGGGAGGAGATGGCTAATAGTGGGACACAGTGAAGGCAAGTGCAACTCCCTCTTGTCTATTAAAACAGGAGGAAGAGCTCATCCTGCTGCTGAGGAGGGAGTGTTGATCCCACAGGGCTAACGCTCTTGTCTGGCAGGTGGGGAATCCAGAGCGGGAAGTGCAGGTGCTCGGTCAGTGGCTTAACCAGGACCAGCACTGGGCAGGGAGAAAAAATGACCCACCTGGAAGTCCCCTATTCCAGTGTTTTTCAAAGTTCGGGTCACGACCCATTATTGGATCACGGCATGTAAGGCACTGGGTCACCTTGCTCAGCACCCAAGGACCCTCGCAGCTCTGGTCAGCACCACTTAATTGGGACATTAAAAGTCCTGTTAGGGGTGCTGCCCAGCTAAGGCAGGCTAGTGCCTACCTGTTCCAACACCGCTCTGTGCCCTGGAAGTGGCCAGCAATAGGTCCATCTTCTAGGCAGGGGACCACAGGGCTCCGCGCGCTGCCCCCACCCCAAGCGCTGGCTCTGCACTCCCATTGGCTGGTTCCCGGCAGGCAAGAGCCATGCGGAGCCTCCACCTAGGAGCCAGACCTGCTGCTGGCTGCTTCCGGGCGCAGCACAGTCCGTGGTACCAGGACAGGCAGGAAGCCTGCCTCTGCACCCTCGCTGCACTGCTGACCAGGAGCCGCCAGAAGTAAGTCCACACCCCAACCCTGTGCCACAATCCCCTGCCCCAGCCCTGAGCGCCTCCCAAAACCAGAACCCCTTTGTGCACCCCAAATGCCTCATCCCCAGCCCCACTCCAGAGCTTGCACTCCCTCCCAGAGCCCTGATCCCTTCCCACACCCCAACCCCCTGGGCCTGCCCCAGCCCTGAGCCCCTGCCAACCCGGAGCCCCTCTTGCACCCCAAGCCCCTCATCCCCAGCTCCATTAGGTCACGGGCATCAACAATTTTCTTCAACTGGGTCCCCAGAAAAAAGTTTGAAAACCAGTCCCATATTCATCTCCTCTAACGGAAAATCCATCTGGCCGCCCAAGGCTAGAGGAAGGAAGCACAAACATTTAGCCAGTTAGACCTGCTTGGGGACCTGAGCTTCTTTTGGATAGATTTCTTCACTTGTGCCCTTTGCTCAGCCCTATCTCCACAAGGTCACACAATGGCAATACCTCCCACAACAGCTCACATGTTTTTGTGGTGGGCCTTACACATTGGTGGCTCTCTTTAGTCACAGATTTCAAGGCCAGAAGGAACCATCTGATCTGATCTCCTGTATAGCACTAGCCAGACAACTTCCCCCAAATAATGCCTAGAGCAGATGTTTTTAAAAAAACATCCAATCTGGATTTAACAATTGTCAGTGATGGAGAATCCACCCTGACTCTTGACAAATTGTTCCAATGGTTAATTATTCTGACCATTAAAAATTTACACCTTATTTCCAGTCTGAATTTGTCTAGCTTCAACTTCCAGCCACTGAATCATGTTTGACTTTTCTCTAAACTCTAATTTATCAATGTCCTTCTTGAATTGTGGACACCAGAACTAGTCAGCGCTCCAGCAGCACTCGCACCAGTGCCAAATACAGAGGTAAAATAACCTCTGTGATCCTACTCTAGATTCCCCTGTTTATGCATCCAAGGAACGCATTAGCCCTTTTGGCCCCAGCTTTGTACTGCGCGGTGGATAATCAGCTGATTATCTACCAAGACAGGTTTTCAAAGTCACTGCTTCCCAGGATAGAGTCCCCTATGGGTTCCTAGGGTTCCTGGATGTATACATCTGCATTTAGCCAATTTAAAATGCATATTGTTTAAAGGCCTAACATTTTGTTTTGACAGAAAGAAAAGAACCAAGACGTACACGACCAGAGCTTCAGCTTTTTGGCTGCGATGGAGCTACATTACTGATCCACACCAGCTGAGGATCTGGACCTTAGACTCCAAAACTGGGGAGGACAGGGGAGGTCCACTGAACATTGAGACACAAACGAACGTGTTTGTAAAAATGTGACTTAATTGAAACCCGATTTTTTGTTTAGCTGAAAACCAAAACAACACTTTCGCAGTTTAGCCGCTAAGTACTAAGACCTGCAGCAAACTGTGTCTGTCTCATTCTTTTCCCCACAATGCAGTGATCAGGTGTCTAATTGGACCAATTTTCAGCACACTTGAGCAGCTCTCATAATACACTGGAAATTCTGCTGTCCAGCACTGCTCTGAGATGCCCACATCAGCAACTCTGAAAACCAGGCTCCCGCCACTCTGATGTAATGCAATGTAGGCAATCAGCCCCATCTCGCTTTCAGCGTTGCCAGTTCACTTTTTTCACGCAGCTCTGCACTGCAAGTTATTTTCCCTCAGATTCATTAGCTTGCATTTTCCCAGAGTGCATCTCATTATGTTATTTCTTAGCCGTGATTCTAATCTCTCTGGGTCCCTCTCTGTTCATTATCTCTTCCCCCTGGTGTTCAGAAACACCTCTTGGTTTTGTAGCATCTGTCAATGCTTTTTCATTCCCTTTTCCAGAGTGCTGAACTAGGGAGGGGAGGATGGTCTTGAAGCCACGGCAGTGAAGAGGGATGCTGGAGAGCTGCCTCCCTCAGTCACCCTGAACTACGCCAGGACACTGTAACAAACCCATAGTCTCCTAGGGCTGCACGGATATCACAGTGCCACTCAGCATGGCTCCCTAGAACTTTGCGGCAGCAGGAACAGAACTCGGAACCTCTAGCAGCACAGAGACTGGCCACTTGAGCTCAAAGGAGAATTTCCAGTCAGGACCCCTCTATCTTCTCCATAGGCTGCCGCCATCCACTAGAGGGCAATGGAGTCACACACATTAACCATTAGCGCCACCAGCAGAATCGGCCACTGTTAATTAATCAACAGGGCAAACCCCAAAGGGAGGAGTTGGGGGAGCTCAGCAGCTCTCTGGGTTTGGCCCAAGGCTAGCAGTGCAGAGCCTTCACCCGCTGCTCTGTTCTCATCCCATTTAGCAGAGAACAGTGGTTCCCAAACTCATGAGCAAGATCACAGCAATGCTCACCGGTCTGCCACGGTGATAGGAGGCTACAGTATAAAGCACACTGCTGTCCTTGGAACAAATTTGTTGTTGATTATTACCGTTAATTGAAAATGTTAATTAAGTCGAGACAGAACCACCACCCTTGCAATAAGCCACTGGACCCCACTCCCAAATTCTGTGCATCGCTGTTCCCCTGACCTTATGTTTGAGGTGCGTTCAGTTCCAATGACAGTATTCCAGGGTCCCACAGTTTCACAGCCAGAGAATCAACCCGTTGCCACAAAGATATTGTCCCAAATCTCAGCATTCATTTAATAAAACATGTTTCTAGCACTAGTGTTTGCCAGTGTAACATTCCAAATGTGAGCGGAGTGCAGGGCAATAGAATGTGGTTGGCAGATAATGGGGTTTAGAAAGGTGTTGACCAATTCTATTAATCTCACTGGGCTGTCTGATCTGAAACCTAACAATGATCATTTCAGTGTCAATATTGTTCACTCCTGATCGTTTGTGCAAAAATACCCAGCTAACCTGCTTCTCTCCCAACCTCCAACTGCCTCCCACCCCTTCCTGGATGCCAGCTGTGCCCTAGCCAGCTGACAACTTCCACAGTGCAGCTATACGCCAGCAGCACAAAGCTCCATGGCACGCTGAAAATTAACAGGTGGCATGAAACACACTGGTCCAGATCTTCAGCTGGTCTAAACAGGCACCTGCCGAGGATTCGGCCCATTGCATGTAAAACAAAAATGAACAGCAGGAGTTCTACACAGACTGGGTTATTGGTTTTCATATTTAATTAAATATAAACCTCCCTCTTTTTTTTTTTTTTTTTAAAAAAAGGAGTACTTGTGGCACCTTAGAGACTAACCAATTTATTTGAGCATAAGCTTTTGTGAGCTACACAAGTACTCCTTTTCTTTTTGCGAATACAGACTAACACGGCTGTTACTCCGAAACCTCTCTCTTTTTTTATTTACCCTATTGCAATATTTCTATTCTGTTGCACTCCAGAACCCCAAGGCCTTTGCAACAGAGCTTAGATCCAGCTTGCTGCAGACTACACAGACCTTGACATTACTCTCCTCCAGGCTAATTTCCATTCATTCTTCCAGGAAGATGTCATGCGACAGACACCGTAGCAAACGCTTTGCTGAACCCCAGATACTCTACACGACAGCCGTTGTGTTCCCATTGTCCGCTAATTGTCTGACTCACTCAGAAAAACCCACCATGTTTGTCTGGTAGGTTTTGTCCTTTATAAAGCCCATCCTGCCTATTTCTCATGGTTGTAAACCTGTAAATGCACTTTCCAAAAGTCTGGACCAAATGAAAGTAACCATGGAACGTGCTAACCAAATAAGTTTCTTTATCTGCCTCTAGTGGCCGGATCCCATTAAGCAACGTACAAATCTACCACTGCTCCCAAGCCTGCTGGTCCTTTAGCTCAAGAAGTTGAGACTCTTGCTTTTAGATCCAGGGGCACGTGGCTCAATCCCACCAACCACCCATCCATGGGGTTGCCCCAACAGGGAACGTTCATAAAGTCAGGAGAATTTTTTGCTATTTGTGGACGTCAGACTTACCCCTGGTTCGTGCCCCACTCGTTCCGGATGCAGAGATGCTTGTGCACCGGGTCCTTCATGTAACCCTCATAGCAAAGGCACTCACCTAGGAATAGAGGAAGGTAAAATAAGAGAGAACGAATTCTATTTGCCACTGCTGGAGACAGGCTACTAGACAAGATGGACCAAGGTCTGATCCTGTGCTCCGAATGAACCCTGCTAATGGTAGTCTGTGGGCTCCAGGGGGGCTCACAACAGGCACGGTTATTACATCAGGAAATCCCACCTCCACGTGCCAGAGGCTGAAGTGCACAGGTTGTGTAACTGCATTAACTCCCTTCCTCCCGGAGATCTACAGGTGGTGCCACGGCAGTGGCGGAGCTGAGCCCTCACACCAAATACTGTCTCCTCTTCTCCTCCCTCCAGACCTTGCTACAACTGTCGGCGGCAGCCTCCAACCCCTGCTCTAAAGGCTGGGAGCTGGTGGTTGTACAAAACCAGCCCATGCTCAGAGTAGAGTTCAGAGCTCACCCCCTTCCCTGTCCTCGATGGCCTCTTTGGGGCATTCCCCAGGACATAATTAGGGAGCAGCCCTTGCATTTCCTTGAGTATGGTGAGTATAATTCACACCATTTATTACATTGGCTGTGCAAGGGGGGGGACGCTCCTTTCTTCCTTCACACACACACACACTGTGCAGCCACGTAAGGGTAGGCTGAATCTGGCTCTTGGTTAGTTAATATTTATAAAGTGCTTTAGGTCCCAGTCCAGCACAGCTCTTAAACACATGCTTAACTTTAAGGGCTTCACTGGGAATATTTAAGTGCTGAAAGCAAAGGACATGCACAAATGCTTTGCTAGATCAGGGCCTTAAAGAAAAAAAATGTTAAGAATCATTATTATGTGTTATAAACTCAGTGCACTGTCATGCAACAATGTAAATATGGAGAATTTCAGCACCCAAGCATCAGGAAAATTCAAAATGAACATCCCCAGTGCACAATTATCTTGGTCAAATTACAACAACATATGTCCCACCATGGTTTGGATTACTGTTTAGGCTAGTGCATTACACCTTATATCCTATGCACCCGTGTCACAGGAGCTGTGGGAATATTTGACCAATACTTTCAAGCATCGGTGTCTAAAGTTATACACCTAAACCCGTACTTAGGCACCCAAATAAGCAGGCTGATTTAGAAAGGTGTTCAGCTTCTGTAGCAGCCATTGGCTTCCAGGGGATCTGGGGCTGCTCAGTTTCTCTGAAAAACAAGCTACTATTTAGAGCCCAGATTTTTAAAAGGTATTTAGGCGAAATCCATGGATGTTAGGCACCTAAATACTTCTGAGGAGCTGGGCATAGTTGCCTAACCTATCTTTAGGAAGCCAAGTTAGATCCATTAATATTTGAATTTCCTGACTCGGACACATTTAAATACTGAACTTTAATGTTACTATTTTGTTCCCTGTGGAATGGCCTTGCTTTTAAGTAAAAATGAAACGTATGAATGGTGTCACAGTAAAGCAAAGCGCTGACGACTTGAAATTCCATATTGCTCATGCGCTCTCCAGTATTTCTTGCCTCTGATCGGACCAGAAGCCCTAAAAGGACAGGCTCTATCCCGTGCTATTTCAGCACTTCCACCTCCTAGGTGAAATTCACTCCTGCAGAAGTTCAGCATGATGCCCACCATCATGGTTGTACCTGGGGATTGAACCAAGGACCTCCAGAGCTAAAGCATGAGCTAAAAAAAGCACTGCAGCTAGAAGCTGTAGAAGATCCTATTCTCTGTGGATCAGGTGCAGAAGGGAACATACACACCAAATAGTGGGTTACACAAGAAAAGATCTATGCACCAGACCACTTAAGCTCTGAGGGGTGGATGAGCTTCATGCTGGCTGACTGCGAGTGGGAATTTCATCCCCTTTACAGGACAGAACCCAGAATGGCAGAGACCTCACCAAAAAGGTTTCTTTCAGCTTGGGGCAAAGATTTTGCCTGGTTACTCTAGCCCAATCTGTTTGCAGCCTGCTGCTCTTAAAAAGCCAGCTTTCGTGCTAACGGATACCCTGCGTGCAGCATCACTGGACTATGTGGGACTGCACAGGGGACAGAGCAGGGCAGCGTACGGTCCAAAGACTAGAGTCCGTCAGGACAGCCTCCTGCTCTTAAAGGGCCACACGCCTTTAAAACACAGATGAAAGAACGCTGAATTTTTAAGACCCGACCCCAAGGAAGCTGATGACTCCCTATGCAGGGGCTGCATCTGCTGTGACAGATGGCTGTGAACACACGGAACACTGATTCTGGAGCAAGCACAGACTCCCACCAGGGGAGCAAGTGGATATTACAGAAGACGACACAGACTGTGCGTAGGTACATGCTGGCCAGAGGGAAGAGACTGTCCCAGCTTCTGCAATGACTTAAGCCCGTGCAGCCCTGCTGGTGTGGTGCTGGGTGGACAGCAGTGCCGAATGTGTCCTATGGCCCAGAAAGGAAGGATCACGTGGCTGAGACACTGTACTGCAACTCAGGAGACTGGCTCTGCCGCAGACTCTCCGTGCAACCTTGAAACTGTGAAATGGGGAGATCAGGCTTCTTTTCTCAGATCTGTTTAAACAGTAAGCCTGGTGGGGTCAGGACTGGCTCCCATTATGTGTTTGTACAGCTCCTGGCACAATGGGGCCCTGACCTTGGTTAGGACCTCTAGTGCCATGGTAAGACAAAATCTTCATAGAAGGAAGGTGAATTCTGCCCACGGATACTCCTGACTGCAGCAGCTCAAGTGGACAGGAGAGAAGAATGTGGTTCGGTGTTTGGAATGAGTTAATAAGCAGGCTGTGGGTAGCAAAGGTGATCAGAGAGCAACACTGCAGGTGGCGGGACTGATACTGGAAAACGGAGACCTTCATTTCTACACCACAGATTCAAGCCCACTCCTGGTCACCAGGCACCAGAAATCCACGCTAGCTGATGGCTCTTCAGCTGCCTACATGAAACAAACTGGTGGTTACAATCCAGTTCCTAGCATGCCAGTGCTCAGCCGGCTCTACCCGGGCCCCTCTCAGAGAGGCCAAGGCATGGAGGCTGCACTGCCATCCGCTCTGGCCGGGAGCGAGTCACAGTGCTGGAGAACTAATGCTTCCACTGCCCATCTGTTCCATGGCTAAATCTGCAGGGGAACCAGTTTGGCAGCTTGCCCCAGCACTACATCTACTCCGAACTGAAGGAAGAGATGTGGCTGGATGGAGTGATCCTGGAACACACCCCGAGCAGATAGCTCAGCTGCTCTCCATCGTAGTACTGTGTGCCCTCTCGCTTACATATCCACACTACACTCACATAAAATGAACGCTGGAAGGAAACAGGAGGGGAAAGCGTTCAGCTGCTGCCAATGGGCCCAGTGCCGCTGAAGTCAGCATAATGCCATTTACATTGATCTGGCCCATGATAACATTCCTGCCAAAACATACAGTTCAGTAACCAAGGAGATGCAGATCACCTCACGTTACAGATGAAAAACTAGACTCACTCAATTTACCCCAGTGTAAATCTGCAGCAAGTCTGCTCGATACTCCAGATTTACACCCACATCTGGACCCTGAGATCTGAGTTTGGCCTCTAATTGCTGTAAAATGCTGTTCCATTTCGATCTGACAAGGAAAGGAAGGCAGTGACCTGTAAATCAGATGACACCCAACAGGGAAAACGAAGGCAGAGAAGCCATGTTTGAGAACGAAGCCAGCCGAGGCACAAGGGGAAAGGAGACACATTCCAGTAATCCCACCAGGATTGATCATTTCACTATAGGGAAAAGCAAGGAACAGAGGCAATTGCAGGGACAGCAGGGAGGCCTGCTTCCCCAAGACAAAGCTGGAAGCTGCAAAGCTAGGTGAGCTTAGCTTTTTATGGGCAGAGATCCGACAGAGTAGTGTCATGGGGCAGTATGCGTGCTTGGGCCACACAGCGTGCAGTAAGACAGAGGATTTTTAAAAAAAGACAATGACCCTATTGAATACTGATGCTCAGTAATGACAACAGACTCCCAAGCTCATTACGTGCAGGCAAAACATGATGGGGGGGGAGGGGGATTGATGTTTTCACTGCAATGAAGGTGTCCCTCACCAGGGGAGAGCACTTTCCCAAAACCAGTGGCAAGAATAAACACCTTGGTGCACCTACAGCCTGGGCAACACTTAAAAACTTAGGTCAAGACACGTATGGCACTCAGAGGTGTGAAAAGTCCATAGCCCAGAGCAATGTAGCGATGCCAGCCTAACCCAGCTGTAGCCATTGGCAGATGCAGAGAGAGGGGGGCAGGAAAGAGTACCACCGCAGCAGGATCACAGTCAGGAGCCAGGGAGCAGCGACCCGGCAGAGGAGCAAACTCCAGCTCATGCCCAGACAAAGCACTCACCGCTAGCACCCAACCAGGCTCAGGGCCCTGCTCCTCTTTGGATCCAGTTTAAAGATTTGGTAACCTTATCTCGGGGACTGCGTTCTCTACCTATGATCCTATTCTTAGTCCAGCCCAGCAGGATGGACTATATGACCTCCTGAGGTCCCTTCCAGCCCTAGCTTTCTACAATTAGACTCTGAGATCTGCACTGAGCACACCGTTGGTTCCATGCTGCGTGTCATAAATATAAAGGGAAGGGTAAACCCCTTTGAAATCCCTCCTGGCCAGGGGAAAGCTCCTCTCACCTGTAAAGGGTTAAGAAGCTAAAGGTAACCTCGCTGGCACCTGACCAAAATGACCAATGAGGAGACAAGATACTTTCAAAAGCTGGGAGGAGGGAGAGAAACAAAGGGTCTGTCTGTCTGTCTATATGCTGGTTTCTGCCGGGGATAGACCAGGAATGGAGTCTTAGAACTTTTAGTAAGTAATCTAGCTAGGTATGTGTTAGATTATGATTTCTTTAAATGGCTGAGAAAAGAATTGTGCTGAATAGAATAACTATTTCTGTCTGTGTATCTTTTTTGTAACTTAAGGTTTTGCCTAGAGGGGTTCTCTATGTTTTTGAATCTAATTACCCTGTAAGATATCTACCATCCTGATTTTACAGGGGGGATTTCTTTATTTCTATTTACTCCTATTTCTATTAAAAGTCTTCTTGTAAGAAAACTGAATGCTTTTTCATTGTTCTCAGATCCAAGGGTCTGGGTCTGTAGTCACCTAGGCAAATTGGTGAGGCTTTTTACCAAACCTTGTCCAGGAAGTGGGGTGCAAGGTTTTGGGAAGTATTTTGGGGGGAAAGACGCGTCCAAACAGCTCTTCCCCAGTAACCAGTATTAGTTTGGTGGTGGTAGCGGCCAATCCAAGGACGACGGGTGGAATATTTTGTACCTTGGGGGAGTTTTGACCTAAGCTGGTAAAGGTAAGCTTAGGAGGTTTTCATGCAGGCCCCCACATCTGTACCCTAGAGTTCAGAGTGGGGGAGGAACCTTGACACTGCGGGTCTCAGTACAGGCAGCCACAGATGCCCTGGGTTCCCCTGCACAGCGGTAGTTTGGTCAGTATCTCCGTATCCCTGCAATGGCATTGTGCCTGCTGGCAGACAGTAAACGACACGCGCTGGTTATTTCACGCCATTTTTGCGGGTGGGACCACTGCAGCTATGCCGCACTTCCACCACGTCCACACCCAAATTCTTCCCCGTCCTTTAGACATCCTGAGATCAGAGCTCTGCATGGCCAAGTTACAGTTATAGGTGTAAGGAAACGGAGGAAGATCGAGGGCAAGCTATAGCCCCTGAGTGAGGGTTGCCATTCAATCCTTATCTCACCCTGCTGATCAGTGCTGCAGTTCTTATATTTCTCGGGGTGGGGGGGTGGGGGAGGGCACAAGAAAATAGCGTTCCGAGTTTCAAAGCGTTACATGGGGCTTTAGCCAAACAACTGCCATTATGTGGCATGAAAAACTCACCTGGGGAATGCATGGATTTCCCTCAGATTGCAGTTACCTCTGGGTCTGTGCCATCTCAGCCACTCCTTCACAAGCACTTTGGGGAAGGGGATGGAAAGAAGGGATCCCTTGCAGTAAATCATCAGTTAGGGGTGGAGGAGAAGGAAAATCAGGGATCTAATTTAAATATGCAAATCACCGAACTCTTTTCTGACCTGGGCCACCAAGACCCAGCAAAGTCTCCAGGTCTGTGCCAAACATGTTAGCCACAAAACAAACAGGCTAAATGGACGATGTTGCTGGCACAGGATGCTTATCACACAGGCCACCAGCCTATAACGACTGAGTCTGCCCCTGTGCAGCCAATCTTTGGACCGGCTGGTAAATCCAGGGGGCCCATCTGAACCCGGAGAGATCAGCGAGCAGGAGCCTGTGCTGCTGGTGATGGAAGTTACCCTGGCCTCCCCGCCAACCCTGCCTACCGGTTTCTGGATCACACTGGTGTTCACACGGGTCAAGAAGCCGTCGGGCACAGAGGTCCAGTGCCCAGGGCCCGCTGGAGTTCTGTTGGGAGAACAGGATGACCTGGGCAGGGTTTAGCCAGTCACTGGCATCCAGCTGGCTGCCCTCCAGCAGGATAAAGCGGCTCCCTGCAAGAGAAACACCGGTCGGGAAGCCTGCGATACAGAACTCCCCGCAAACTAGTTTCAGAACCCAAGCTTCCTGCAAGCCAGTTATAGGCACCCCACAGGCCAGTTTCAATTATAACTGGAATAGCCTTCCCCACACACGCAGCTCTGTGCTCGGAGGATGATGTCCCAGAACAGGGGCTCCCCTGGCCTGGCCCGGCCCTTCCCCCTGTGGTGGCCCATGATTTCAGACCTGGCTCCCAAAGAGCAGACTCTCCTCGGCCATTAGCTTCACGATGAGTCCTGAAGGTTACCAACCCTCCAGGATTGTCATGGAGTCTCCAAGAATTAATCTTTAATTTAAAGATTAATCTTTATGTAATATGATGAAATCTCCAGGAATTCATCCAACCAAAGTTGGCAACCCTAGTCCTGACGTGATGACATTCGGCAGCATGATGTACCGTCCACCTGTCGTGACGCCAAGGGTGGGCAGCTCCATACCCAGCCAGATTGGCATTTACCCTGGCCCACTCCCCCCGCCTGAGGGTCAGAGGGCAGAGCTGTGTGGGCGGAGGTGGGGGCGTGCTCACCGTCGGCAATGAGGTGCTCCGGGACGTGCAGGGTGATCTTGACGATGAGCGGGCAGCTCATGTGGGACGAGCACACCAGGCTGATCACGCAGCTGGTGACGCTGATCAGGGTCAGCGTGGTCTTGTTGACGGGACTTCTCGGCGAGCCAACTGGAACGGCAGCGAACAAAGAGACTGACGGCAGAGACACCAGAGCCACAGCACCAGCTGCCACTTCTAGAACACAATCCAAGGAGCTGCCTAGCTCCCCCACTCCCACCTCCTGATCAAACAGAGCAGAGAATACCAGACGGGTTCATCTTCCCAAGGAAACCCTCACCTCTCAGCCACCCTCACCACTCAGAGGATCAAAGGGATCACAACCCACAGAGTTTGCGTTAGTCCCCGTCTTGTTTGGGGTGATGGGGGAGGGCAGCTTTGCTGATCTCACAGTGCTGTGCCCTGGAACTGCTTCCACAAGCAGCCAAGTGTTTGGTTATTGGCCCATACATGTGCAGACTCCAGTTCCCACAGGTAATGAACGGCACTCCACGGAGTGCCTGGGAGGCTGGTCGATCTGTCCCTATCTCAAACATCCGCTCAGAAGCGGCAGCCTCTGTCCGCCCCCGCAGCGTCAGGCATCCTGCAGCTTCTGACCTATCATCTCTCTGACAGTTGGCACAATGCCCTGGCAGGGGAAGAGGCAACTCTGGGCCGCGAGAACACTAGCACTATCAAACCTGAAGCTTTAACAGCCTGAGGCTTCACAGTTCTCAGAATCTTTCAGAGCTGTGCGAGCGGTCCTAAGGGCTGCAGGCACATAGGGCTCAAAAGATGCCGTTTTGCTAAGAGTCACAGGACCCATGTGGCTAGAGGAACCAGCTGGTTTGGCGTCACAATACAGAATGAGGTCTTAGGTGTATATAGCGCCTCTCACCCCAACGTACTTCACAAACTACACCACAGACAATTATTTGATCCCTGAAATGCAGCCACTTCGGGTAGGCAGCACAGCAGGAAGGTGGACAACCAGCACACTGCCCTACAGTGAGGGGAGCAGATGTTTTGGGAGATCAGTCTTTCCCTCCCACACACACTCTTCTGAAAAACACACTGGTCCAAATTCTGCTCTCATCCTCCTGACCAGAAATCCAGAGCAACTCCCATGAGGTCATTCAATGGAGCCACTTTGGATTTATACACGTCAAAGAGGAGACTTTGGCCCATTATGTTTTTATGGAGGATCATTCTTCACTTCGTCAGCTGTCTGTATGTTACTGCACATGTAACAGTTCAGGTCCTTTCACAACACTGTTGTGTGCATCAATGTGTTCTAAAAGACCACTGTAAATGGCTTCTTTTTCCAGCAGGTCAGAGATACATGGCTGAGTATTCAGTAAAAAGAAGAGTAGAGTATTCCATTGGTTTTTCTTGCTGGTAATTTTCTTGGATTCAGTTCGCCATGAATAGGTGCCATGAGATCTTTAACGTCCAAGGCTTTTAATCTCTCATCTGAAGGACTCATGCTCTGAGAAAACTTGTGCTGAGTTCACCTGTCTCAGAAAGGTGAAAGACTGAGGCAGCCTGTGTGGGGCCCCTTATCAAAGGGACCTGCCTCAAATGATTCCTGCTCTGAATTTGACCTGATCATCTTAAATTGCTACAATCCGGTGGTGAATACGGTGAAGCTGACCAGGCACATGCCAGGGTATGCTAGTGGCCTCCACGTCCATCACCAAGGTATCTTATGGAAGTTTTAATTTAGAACTTTTCCAAGGAGGAAAGAGAAATCAGTTAATTAACAGAGCCTAGACGGGGATTTGCTTGCAATGGAAGTGAAGTCTTAGGCTCATCCAGTGAGTGGACTGAAAGGCTGTGTGCTCATTTCACAAGTTCAATTATCCCAAGAAGAAAATAAAAGAAGAGGGAAATGCCATGACTTTAGAAACAGTCAGAGATATTTGCCTGTGTATTCAGCGAAAGGAAGATAAGGAGAAAATACCCATCAACAAACAGCACTCCTGCATTCCCAGACTTCAGCACATTCTCTCATCAGGAAGCTCTGGAGACTCCTTTCAGGTCTCCAGAGCTTCCTAACCCAAAACTTGTGAATCTCTCCCATCCCCGTCCTGGCTTGTGAAACAGTCAGAAGCAAACGGCACCAGTCCTGACTGAAACGGCCAATGCCTCATGCAGAAAAGGAATTTTCCCTTCCTCCTTCAAACATGCAGTAGCCCGACCAATCCACCCTGGACACTTTAGTCCAAGTCAACTACTACCCAGCATCAGACCTCCCGTTCCTGAGCTAGCTCATAGAGAAGGTAGCAGAAGGCCGACTACTAGGTAATTTAATCTTCTAGACCCAGCACAATCTGGATTCAGGCCAGGACATGGAACTGAAGCCACTTTAGCAGCACTGATGGAAGATCTCCTGCTGTCAATGGATAGAGGGCAGACATCCATTCTCATCCTCCTGGAACCTCTCCACAGCATTTGACATGTGGACCACGAGATTCTGCTGTCCTGCCTGAGAGGTGTGGCAGGGTTCCAGAGTAATGCACTAGGATGCTCTGGGTCCTTTCTGGAGGGAGGCACCCAGCGAGACATGATGGGGAACTGCACCTTGTGATACTTCTAAGCCTGAGTCTGTTTAAACCTGGGGTGTCACCCCCTAAGCCAGAAAGTGAGATGAGTCATTAGAGACAACTACCTGCAGGTCCTGGGATGGGCTCCATTCCATTCAACAAGGGTTCAGCCAATCCACAAGCAAGGACCCCCCCAGGTGACCCCAAGGCAGGTATACAAGCTCCTAAAGGAAGCAGGCTCTCCAGTCTGCTTGACGTCACTACCTGGCCAGAAGCATTCCCACCGCTGGTAGTTTCAACAGACTGTCCCTGCTTCAGCGCTTGGCTTCTGCTCTACCCAGGCCTGTTTCCATGCCCCTACTCCAGCCTGCTTCTGCTCCTACCTCAGACAGCTGCCCGAAGACTCTGGCATGCCTCCACCACCAAACTGCTTGCTTGTGAAGTTCCACTAGGACCTCTGGGCCTTTACATGCAACCACTAGGTGAACTGGTCAGATGACATGGACGCAAGTGCCAGCAATATGCAGATGACTCACAGCTCTACTTACCCTTCGCCACACATGACCACACTGCTACCATCAATATGGCCCAGTGCTTGGATGAGATCAGCTCGTAGGTGAAGAACAGCTGGCTGAAGATGCACCCGAGCAAGCCAGAAGAGGGAAGAGGAGAGCATTATGTAGAGTTCACAGCCACGGTGCTGTCTCCTTTGGTTCAAGGCACACATCCACAATTGGTCAGTTCAGTCACTAGAGTTGGAGAGCTCCTGGATTCCTCGCTGATGCTAAGCAATCACACAGCAGCATCCATGAATAATGCTTCCTCCATTTCCAGTTGGCTAGGAGACTCCATCTCATCCTGGCAGACAATGATATGCTATTCACACCCTCATTACCTCTTGGCATGACTACAGCATTGCGATATACTTGGGCATGAAGCCTGCGGCACTTTAACGAAGCTCCACCTAGTAAAGACACCGTAGCGTATCTCCTCATCTTCAGAAACACAAGCTATCACGAGCACATCAAAGCTGTCCTCTACTCTCTACACTGGTTTACCAGAAAATAGCAAGTCAAGCTCAAGGTCCCTGTCCTTATCTCCAAGGGACTGATCTGGGCACACGACAGCTAAAGGACAGCTAAAGCTCAGGGATGCAGACTGTGGTCTACAACTCTATTCCTCAGGCACGCCGGAAGGCCCTACAAGAAGGGTAAAGCATGTCTGTGTGGCAGATAGAAGAGTCTTGGGCGCCAGTCTGAGACTGCAGAATGAACCGCCCCAGGGACTATGGACCATCACAAACCTCCCCACCTTCCACTCCAACTCTTTGCCTATCTTCTCTAGGACAAACACGGAGAAACGTGTATAAAAACCCCCCAAAAGCAACCACCTCCCCAAACCAAGGAGTGTCCGCTGCACACCTCTCCCACTGGGGAGGGGATGAGAGAACAAACACCACATGACAGATGTTAGTCACATTGTTGGATGCAGTCTAAGAACCGACACAATAGAATAAAAGTTCAGATGTCCCAAGGAGAGAACAGCAGGCCAAGCTGTGAGCATCACTGCCGAGGCTATAAAGGGTGCATTGGGGGGTGCAGAAGAGAATCTACAGTTCCCAAGAAAGAAGCTGATGGTAAGAGAAAACTAGTCCATCATTTTAGCTAGGGACAATGTTATTGGTTAACAGTACAGCCTTGTTTTACTTTGATATAGAAGGGTTGGTTTTTATAATAATTTCTCTTCCTTCTTTTAAATTGGGCACAGCTGCCTTCTCTATGTTTGTATACAGCCCATCGCTGGTGAGGTACAGTGTATTTATAGAATCTTTCCATCTGGTTTCCCCTTTGTGCGGGAGACGGTTTTATTAAAATAATAGCAGTAAGACACCGAACAGGGAGGCACAGGGGCTAACAAGCCAGGCTTTGAAGCCCGTTACTCATTAATATACAACAAATCCAGCAGCAAAATTTGAATCTATTTCATCCTCAGTTGCAAAGATCTCCCAAACAGCTCCATGCGGCCAGCGGACTGGCTAGGGACTAGAAATCAGCACTTCCTGATTCTAGTTTGAGTATCAGTTCTGACCGCCATCACACCAACCATTCAATGGAAAATCATACCCATAGCCAGTGTTCATGTAGAACCTACAACGTTGCACTTTTGCAGCACACAGCCATTTGAGGAAGCCTGATGAGACAAAACAGAACTCGGACGTCCCCACAAAGAGGATGCCCTCCCAGTCTGGGTTACATATCTGGAAGGAGATGGAACTATAAGACTACTGGAATAGGGGTATTGCAACCAGACAGCTGGACTGACGGCCTAATCCTGGCCCCGAAGAAGTCAATAAGAGCTTTACTAGTGACTTCAAAGGGATCAGGGTTTGTCCCTGAGCACTTACCTAACTCTCCATCTCTTCTCATCTTCACATTGGATATAGTCCTGCTATTGGAAAACACACGTAGACACAACCCGGGTCCAGCCCCTGCAGGAACATCTGCTTTCGATTCCCAACCTCCATTCTCCCCCCACCTACACACCCACCCACATGCATACCTCTGCTGCGCCGCCTGCTCCGAGATGGGTCAGTATAAAACGTCAGCTGGGGGTCGTTGTCAGCCTCTGTCCCAGAATCTCCTTCGGGGTTCAGAAATGCTGAGCCAGCTACAATTAACAGATGACAGAATCACTTCCAACAATCGCACTTTTTCCCCAACCTCTGCCCCCATCATAGCCACCTGCCGTCTCTCATTGCTGTTGTTACTTGCACTGCCAGAAGTGCCAGAGATCAGGGCCTCGTTGCGCCAGGTGCTGTACAAATGCACTCCTCTTGCCCTGAGGAGCTTACCATCTAAATAGACAAGGGCTGGGAGGGGAAACAGAGGCACAGACACCTGCCCAGGTGACCCAACCTCAGGATCTTTTGAGCTCTGCCCACTGCTGTCACCAATGCTGGCTCTTAAGTGGTCAGAGGGTGTTGATATGGGGAACACAAAGTGCTCCCTTCTCCCACAGAGGAAAATCATGAACTCTGCCTTGGGGACCTGCCCTGTTTGCAGTCCTCTGTTGTAGATGGACAATGCTGGTATTTGTACTGGTAGAGCCGGAAACTGGGGGACTGTGGCTTTGCCTGCACGCGCCAGATGGGGTGGGAAGGCAAAATCCCCGATGCAGACAAGGCCTGAGCTCCACCAGTGAACAGAACTCCCCACTGCCGCCCCCAGCCCCGGGGAGCCACAGGGTACCTCGCGCTTTGTTATTGATCCGCTTCCGCTGGCTACTGGAGGTATGAGACAACAGGGTAGCCTGCTGGTGGTTGGAGTCCACGGGGCTGGTAGCGATGATGTTATCCTTGTACTTGTTCATCAAGGACAGCTTGGCGTTGTCGCTTCCTGAGCAGGAAGAATTTAAGGCAAAAACTTTCAGAGAAAAGACAAAAAAAGGAGGGAGAGAGAAAGAGAGAATTCATTTCTCAGGATCCAATTCCTTTCCCAGCATCTGGGCGAGAGCTCTAGCAACACCTTGGATGGTGGCCCGGCCAGCGAAATTGACCAGGGTCCCTATGGGGGACAAGGGAACAGGGGCTGGAACAGGTTTCTTCCACTCCAAAGGTGCATGGGATGACAAAATTGGTTCAAACCAGGCTCTGGAGAACCCTGTCCATTCCAAGCAGCAGCATGCCCATCTATTGCAGCTCCACCAGCCCTGCAATGCATTGCTACCAGGGTGAGATCCAACAAGCAGGGAGAAACTCCTTATCTGGCCTGTAGCGTGGAGGAAGGGAAGTAATCACTTGGGAAGAGCCAGGGATGACAAGGAGGAAGGTTAAAACTCGCCCCATGAGATAAACTACCTCTTAGGCTGGGTGTTGGAGAAGCCCCAATTCATTCAGCGTCATCTTGAGGAGTCTGCAAATAGACAGGCATTCAGGCCCATCTGCACTACAGCAATAACTGAGTCAGGGGACCCTCCTTACAATATAGTTACCCCTGACCCAGTTACAATACTGTACAAGCTGTAGTGTAGATGAGACCTAACTGGGTCCCTCTCTGACCAGGCTAAGAGCTCGGGTTAAAATTTTCAAAGCTGCATAAGAGATTTCACTGCACAAACTGGGCAGGCAAATCCCTTAGGCAGCTTTGGAAATCTCATCCTTGGACTTCCCAGGAATACAGTTTAGATTCCACCTACAGGTTGCAAAGTGGCTAAAGGCTGTGATCAGAGGACAACTATGTAGTCACTAGGTCTTGTGATCCAAGAGAAGCCCCATTTGCATCAAGGTGGTATTAACACTGAAGACTACTGATGACACTTTAAACATCGACGTTAACTATCTCACTGCTGATCATTTTTTAAATGGACCCAGTGGTCCTGGGACTGTGGCTGGAGCTTGGGGATGAGGACAGAGCTGGGACAGAATACCACCACATTTTTCCCTTTCCATCTGACCCCTTATTGAAGCCTCTGTTCAGGGAGAAGAAAGGTGCGGGCACAGATTCTTGTACTGGAATCAAGGCTCTGCATTTCAGCACCACCTCTTATCTCTGCTACATCACATGCAGTGGAAGACGCGCTGCTAGATCTGGCTGCATGGAGGCCCCAAGCCATGGCTATGAGAATACCCAGGGGAACATACTCACTGCCATCCCATGCTTAAGGGAACCCCAAATTAGGTTGTCCCACACGGCTCTGGGATCAAATCAAACTTGCACGGGGAAAGGGGTATTCTGTGTATATGTATTCCACTGTAGCCCAATACCCAGCAATACACACAGGGAGAGGACTTGGTTTCAGTACTCAGCTGAGCCCACGCAAACAGGAAGAGCAAAGCACATGGAGGGTAAACCTTTCGACCCCCAACCTGGCGTGAGATCCATGCCAGACTTCTCATTGCAGCCCTGCAGCGAATCCAGCGTCCTGGTGACCTGGCTGGCGAAGTCCTCACCGCCGTTCATGCACTCGCGCTGCAGGTGGTGACGCAGGTCAGTGATGTCGTACTCATAGCCGTCCAGGATGGGGGTCTCACGGATGCTCAGCGTGCCGCTGGAGTTGTGGCCTTGCACACGGGCGTTGCGCAGGCTCTCCCGCCCGTGACCCCCAATCAGGACTGAGGGGATGTAGTGGATTTCGTTGGCCGCCTCCGCGCTGGCACTTTTCTGGGGCTGCGGCACCCGGCGTCGCTTGCACCAACGCCGGCGGGTGTAGAGGATCATCACCAGGCACAGGATGGAGAGCAGCAGGGCAATCATCCCCCCCTAGGGAAGGGAACAGAAGCAGGGCTCAGAGCCACGGCTGGAGGCAGCAGAACTGCAGCCGGCCGCCGGGAGGCAGAGCTACATGGACAAGGAGATCAGTGGCTTCCATTCCAGCTGGATGGCCAGCGCGGCAGGGAACGCATGGCCAAGGGGGAACGGCAAAGGGGAATGGACGACTTTCCCCTCTCACCCACTAGTCTGACTCCAGGCCAGGCTGAAAGTCACGCCTGCTGCTGACACTATAGTTCGGGGTCTTATACACTTAAAAGGTCAGGTATAAAAAAAAAAATCGAAGCCCTGGCTTTCTTACAAGCCCTGCAGCTGCCGGGAGCTGTCACGTTTCCAAACGCAGCGTAATGGTGCCTTAAAAATGCCAAATTCCTTCCCCAGCAGGCAGCCCTCCAACTATAAACACGGGCGCCAGGCTTGGGACTCTGCCCCACCAGGCTCTAGACGCTGTCCCGCTGTATGTTCCACTCAAGGTGCAGGGATGGAGCACAGGGAAATCCTACTATGCCACGCCCCAAAGCGACCTCAGCAGATCTCCTCTCGTTATCAGACTGGGATCTCCAAGCACTTTGCAAAGGGAGGGTAAAGCAGATGGGGAAAACTGAGCCTACCGGCACAGACAGTGCCCATTTAAAACATAGGCCAGTTCCTCAGATGGTCTAAATCATCATAGCTCCATTCAATCAGGCAATGACAATATACACCAGCTGAAGATCTGCCCTGGGGGCCAAAATCACGCCTGGAATAAGCAGGAGCAGCATCCACTGGGAGTTCCCTTCAATGGTAATTGTGCCTTCTTAGGCCAGGGAAAAACTGGGCTCTACATTTCCACGGAGATCCCACTGTTCCTGGCAGAGGCAACAGTCTGAATAATGCATGTGATAACGACAGCCGCTATTGTTTTAGTCCTTCAAACAAGCCTGTGTAATGGAAACGGGACTGGAGAAGATGGGAGAGGCAGAGCACCGTCAGGAAATCAACGGTGTGGGATATAGCTCCCTAATAAGTAACAATCGTACGCAGCAGTTCTACCGTGCAGCTCAGCTGGGCACTTTGCAGAGGTGGGTCTATCCACTGGAGAGCTGGGGAAATGGCAGCAGGAAGAGGTGCAGCAACCTGCCTACGATTACACAGTGAGTCGATAGCAGAGACAGGGATAAAATCCAAGTCTCCTGACACCTGGTCTCCCGCTCTCACTACGAGGTAATATTTAGCACTGATCGCCTGCTTTCCAGACTGCATTTCAGAAGGGCTCAGGCTTGGCCTCATTCTGCTTCCACTGAAGCCAACGGTGAGGCAGGCCACGACGGAGCGCTTTACAAAATCCCACTCTATATAACTACTCAGAGTGGGGTACTTTGGTGCCCCAGAATACAGACCCAGATCTTACAGTCCAGTGTGACTGGAACAGTGGCCACCATCCGAGCGCCTCCTTGTGGCCAGGGTGCCTCTGCAGCCCATTTTCCCTTTCCTCAGGGCTGCTTAAACACATGCCACAGTCTCTCTCATCTGCTCACACCCCTTCTTAGCACCTGGTTTCTTATTAACACAATGTTCCAAAAAACACAACAATAATCTTCCACCTAGCTTTAAGCTGGGCACACACCCTCCTCCCTGAGGTGCTGCCCCTTCCCATCATCTGGGCAGCTGGAGGAGAAGCAGGGTATGTCCTTTCGCCTTTGCCTTCTCCCAAAGGAAAAGCAAACCTTTCAGCTGGGACTTCTTACCCAGCCCCAACTCTCTTCCTCGGGGACCATGGCAGGAAACCCTCACTCCCTCTCATTTCTGTCCATAGTTCCCCTTCTAGCTCTGTCACCACTGAAATTCCCCCGACCCTTTATAGCCCAGGTGCCCGGCCCCACCTTCTTAACTGGCTCAGGTGGGAGCACCAGCTCTGGCACAGAGGCGCTGGACCTATGTTAATCACAGGGACCAGCCACCCCTTGACATAGACACAGGATGTCTGAGTGTAGGAAATGGGGAGTGGGGGCTGAAGGAAGACAGGGCCAACAGCACAAGATCATGATCCTTTCAGACATTAACACATTACACTGCCTGCCATCCCAATGAGACAACCCGCTACTTGAGCTAAAGGGGAACTCCCTTAACTACTGGTAGTAGTCGGTCCCTTATCCTTTCTGTGGAGAAGGTCAATGGGAGCAGAGTTGGGACTGGTTAAAGATTTCCTCCAGGCCCCACTGGAATAGACCTTGAATTTCTTCACTTGACTTATCTGTTTGGGTGAGGTATGGGGTAGCAGAGTGAGCTGGATCCCTGAACTCCTGGGTTCTGCTCCCAGCTCCGTCACTAACTCAGTGTCTGATCTTGGGCAAGCCGCTTCGCTGTTACGCCTCCCCCCCAATCTGTAAAACGAGGCTAGTGCGTACCTGCTATGTATAATGTGCTGACTTGGAGTGAATGAATTCCCATGTGAACTAGAATGTATCTTTTAGACAAAACCATCTGAGGGGGATTTGTGGTGGGGGATAATGCGACTGTCCATTTGGGGTCCTTTGCTCTATGGAGCTGTACATTTTTGTGCAGCACCTAGAGTGCTGTGTAGGTGCTTTGTAAATGCGAATAAGTAAGTCTAATCCCATTTACCCTCAGAGATGTCAGAGTAATTGTGCGGGGGGAGGGGGGATTTCTTGGCTCATTTGAAATGGAAGGAATTCTTGGCAAAAGAAAATAAAGAAAAGTCTCTGTATCACAACCCTGCCTCAGCCAGGAGAGCCTGCGATCATCAAAACATGGAAAGTAGCATATAAATCACAAAACCCCCAAGAGCCTGGCTTTGCCTCATGGGGAGCTTTCATTCAAACGCAAGAGTAAGTTACTGAAAAAGAACTAAAATTGAAACAGTCCTTAAATCATGTTGATGTATTTTAGTATTAAATCATTTTGGGGTGCTTTTTTTTTTTAAAGGAAACAGAATGTTCATGAATAGAGTCCAGCTGTCGGCTCGGGGGAGCGAAATCCTGTACTTATAATCCACAGGACTGGTACAGAACAGACAGATGATCACGCAGACTCACCCACTCAATGGATCAATCTTAACACTGCCCAAGACAGATAAGACTGCAGTCCGTAGGTGCTGGTTAGACACTATGGCCTCAATTCAGCCAAGCCCTTAAGCATGTGCTGAAGTCCAGCCTCCTTCAACAAAACACTTCAGCCCGTGCTTAGTTCCAATTGACTTCAAGGGAACTTAAAACACACACTTAAAGTTAAGCGCAAGCTTTAAATGTTTTGCTGAATCAGGACGGTAGGGCCAAGAGGAGCCAGCTTTGAAGCAGTTACCTGAAAGCGAGGGAAACGAATAATCTTTATATATTTATTTTCATGTAGTCTTTGAAAGCAGAGATCAGATTTACTGTGGGCAAACGCTCCTACTGGCAAAGTTTTCAGTGCCCAGGTGGGGGAGGTAATATCTTTCATTGGACCAATACATCTGTCGGTGAAAGAGACAAGCTTTCGAGCTCACACTGAGCTCTTCCTCAAGTGACGTTTCCGGCTGGTTTGAGCACTAGCGCACTCAATCTTTGGAGACTGTCCCAGGGGCTCTTAGAGAAATTAAGTGTGTGACTTAACAAAAGACAAGAGAAGACGGGATTGCTATTGACATTACAGTAGTGCCTAGAGGGGCCAACTGAGATCAGGGTCCCATTGCACTGTGTGCTGTACACGCACAAAGTGAAGCCATGTCTGCATGGGGCAATTTTTATTGGCAGAATTTTACCAGTTTAATCATACTGGTATAACCATAGCAATGGAATCCTGCTGGTAAATCTCCCTGTATAGACAAGCCCTTCAAGCCAGTCCCTGCCCCAAAATGCTCACAATCTACCCAGATAAGCCAGACAAAGGGTCCATTGCTGCTGCAGTCCATAGATAAAGCTGGAGCGATACGAGCTCAATTTTGCTGACTGTGCCAGTCCTCTAAATCTCGCATGCCAAGAGCAAAAAATAAATAAATGGGAGACAGCTAACAGCTCAATGTCCATTCTTGGCCATTTTCCCTCTCCTCCTTTTTATGCAATAGGTGATCTTGATAAAATAAAATAATAACCATCATTTGCTCCATTAGGACAAAACATTAAGGGAATTATTGAATGAGCAACAGACGAAGCAGCTGGCAGAGTTCTCTAATGCCCATTACGTGTTAACCCTCTTTCATTCTCAGGATAATGGAGAAGTACTGACCCCTCCCTTCCTTCCAAAAAGAAAAATGTCTGCAGATTAAGCAAAGGAGCAGCCACTTGGAGGGCACTGCGGTTAGCTGGGACATAGCAGTCTCTCGGGGTTCCTTTTACTAGCCCCATATAGCCCTCACCATGTCACGTCATCACAGGGGTGGGCAACTGATCCCAGCAGAAGAGACATGGTACGCTGGTGCTTAAATGTGGCATCTGATTCCTGAGTGGTCAGTGTGGTTCTGAGTTACTCATTAGCAAGGACATAACGGGGACTCACATTATGACCCTTTTATGCTGCACTGGCCCATAAAGTCTGGGGATCTGGCCATTGGGGAATATACCTAGTGTGTGTGGGAGCTTCCCCAGACAGCATAGAGCTGGCATAATGGATCTATGCCACCACCTTGTAGGCCCCAGATCTATGCCACCCCCTTGCAAGGAGCAAGGGAGAGACAATGAGGCACAGCTGTAATGCCACTGCATGCTGGCTCTTCTCAGCTGCTGGAACTGTAATACGTTTAGTTGCATTATATCATTAGGCCACTAGGTGCCTCTCTGTGTTACAGAGTTCAAACAGCATATGGTCCCTGGTAAACAAGGGAGACAAAGCTGGAACGCAAGTTATGTGGAAGCCTGTTTTTAACTGCCGTCGCAGTGGTTTCCTTAAATTAACACTTTCTGTTCAAGAAAGAGCATAACCTTATCTGACATGACATGAGCAGCCCGTTGGGTTCCCTAACTTATGCCTAAGAATTGGTAGAATCTTGGCTGGTTCAGAATTTAGGAAGACAAAGGTGGCATAAAGCAACATTTGCTCCTCCCCCACTTCCTCCACCAATTGGAATTGAGAATCAGGACCCTGCACTCCTTTTCAGGCATGTACAGGAATCCAGTTCCGGTTCTATCTCCTACCAATGAATCCAGATTCCATTCCAGGTGGGCACAGGAATCTAGTTCTAGTTTCCATCTCTTCTCAGTGGCTACATCCGGACAGCAGAGCAATGGTTGCTATAGAAATTCCTAAATTATGCAGAGCCTGAAGTGCTACTCAAATGTTGGCAATTTTAAAACCACAGCCACAGGTCATTCTCACAAGTGGCTCAAAGAAATAGACTCAGTCGCCCAGCACCATCACTCTTTGCAACACAGCTGAATTGGGAGGAAAAAACACTCAAAATTCAGTTTTAGCACACCACATTATTCTGGTTCCTGGCAAAAGACCCTTTCCTAGGGTGTAAAGATGCTTCCAGGATAGAATTAATTTGGGGGAAGGGAAAAGGGGAAAATAAATATTTAATTTCACATGTTGGTGTAATCATCATCACCACCACCACCACCAGGCTTTCTTCCTGTTCATTTGGTAATAATCATTTCCTGGGCTCTTACACTCGTCCGTTTTCCACCCTGGAATTTATTTCACCCCAGATACAACCATGACCCGTAAGCTGACGTAGCCTCAAGTGGTCATTGGTTAATTCAAACCACACCAGCAGGAGAGGTGAAATATTCTCAAAACATGCAAGGTCACTTCAGACTGGCTTTCCTACAGAATCCCACCCAATCAAGCTCTAGGTTAGACACAAGGTTCCAAGCATTACATCATCAGAGCAAGCTCCCACTGGCTGATCCTGAGGGGGTGAACACTGTTACTACGCAACTGCTCATCATTAGCTTTTCAAAACAAACCCTTCTAAGGTTCACTCCATACCGGATTGGGAGGTCCTGTGCCGAATATGAGAGTCCACGTGACACTAAGCTGAGAGCCCACCAGACTCATTGCACCTGTAACCTAATTCACCCACAGGTGAGAAATGAGGACATTAGTTCCTCACTGTACCCCATCTGGTGGTTTTAACAATGGCCTCAGTGTAGAGGCCCTGGAATTTCCAGTCCAATTACAGACCAAATTATTCCCACAGAGAACCCCTGCATCGTGCTCCCTACTGATATACACTGTCTGGCTGTTGAACTAAAGTCTAGTTAACCAAAATATCCTGTGAACGCAAGTCCAATTGCAGTACAGAACATACCCCAGGCCTGTAGTGTGTATATGTGTACAAACATAAATGCATGCACACGCATACACCACTCCAGGATCTTCTCATTCTCCAGCAGCAGAGACCCAAATCCAGCAAAGCATTTAAGCACTTAACTTCAAACATGTAAATAATCCCACTAACTTCACTGGGACTACTCCCGTGCTTAACGTTAAGCACGTGCTTCAGGGCCTCTCTGGATCAGAATCTCGGCATGCAGCCTGCTGCACAGGCCATTCATTGCATTACTGAGATGGCAACCCACAGCCCGGTCTGTTTGAAGGCGCAGACTGGCTCCCCCACTGAGCTGAAGCCCCATTTGGCCCAAGATTTTAGGGATCTCCAAGACCTGTGGACACAAACAGGACCGTGCTGCATTCCATTCCAGAGAGGCAAGTGAAGAAAGGGAGCAAGTAGAATACAGGTGACTACGAGAGGAGTCACCAGGATCTGGAGTTCTCTGCCATCTGGGGGCCAGATCATCAGCTGGTGTCAATTGGTTTAGCTCCACTAAAGTCCACGACTAGAGTGAAAGGATGGTCCAGTGGAGAGGGCACTGGTCTGGGATTAAGGAGACCTGGATTTAATCCCCAGATCACCCATAGATTTCCTCTGCTACCACGCTGCCTAGGAAGGCGGTGTAGTAACATGATGTAAATTACTAAGGAGACAGTGTAGCCTAGTGGCTGCACTGGACTGGGACTCCAAAGGCCTAGATTTTAGTCCCAGGTCTGACACTGACTGGCTAGTTGACTTTGAGCAAGTCATGTCACCATCCTGTGCCTCAGTTTTCCCATCTGTAAAAGGGGGAAACTGACCCCCTTTGTGGAGCACTTTGAGACCAACTGACGAAAAGTGCTACACAAGAGCTGGTTATTATCACCACCTTGGGCAATCACATAATCTACCCTGGCTATCAGCTCCCCAGCTGTAAAACTGGGATACAGTTGTCATGAATTGCTCAGATAGTACAGTGATGAGGGCCACGTAAATAACTAGGTAGACAGACCAGAGCTCCCCTGATGTACATCAGTTGAGGCTGCAGCCCCTGTGTCGGGGATAATTTTAAACAGTTAACATACAGCCTTCTCGGCAAAAACGGACTAAATGTTTCCAGTTTGATTTTGCCGTTTATTAATTTTTCTCCACTAATCAAGCACAAAAGATGGAGGAGACACTTGGCCTCGGGCTGCAATCTGGAAGAGATATTGACATTCTCATTAGAGCAGGCTTCATTAAACAGCCTGTAGCAAGCATCAGCAGCCCATTGTCTCCAGCTAATTATCTTCTGCTGGCAAAGGAATTGGTATGGCTTCCCATCGTTAAAAACATAATCCACCTCACAAACACTGATCTATACTTTTTCTCTTTCCCCTTTGGCTTCCACTGAATTCTCTTTCCAGAGCTTCTGAGGGGAAGAGGACAGGAAGGCAGCAGAGGGGGTGGGGGATATGCAATCTGCAACACGCTCAAGGGGCTCGCACTTGTTATATTCCAAGCCCTGTGTGCTCACACACGCTAAATCAAAGCCATCAGGCTGTGGTTCCTCTGCTGGTGTCACAAAAGCAGGGGTGACAAAGCATCAGAGGGAGAAAAGCCTAAAGGGAGGGTGGGATACCATGCACAGGAAACAGAGATGTCTGGGGATCACAGGCGCTCTGGGGAACAAAATGGGAGGACTGTTGCATTTCTCTGATTTATGCACTGTTTGTCTCATTGGATCAGATCATTGGTTCACATAGACAAGTCTGCTTCATAGGTGGTGGCTCCAATCCTGGGCTATGGCCAAGCTAAGCCCAGTGGGACTGGTGGGTGATAGATTTGTGCCTCCTGGATTCTGGAGCACCAGTGCAGCCCTTGGCACAAGCTAGAGCAGCCCATAGAGAACCACCTGCAATGGTTTCCTATGGAGTCATCCAATTGTCTAGCATAGCTGGAGTGCAACGTGCTCTGGCCACACCTCCTCCTCCCTGGTCCCACCCCCTGCACAGATGGCTACACCCTACACAGGGGGCTGCAAAGAGGGACAGCATAGAGACCCTCACCTGGCCCTCCACCTCCAGGCAATCTCCATTACAGCAAGGCTATTCCTCAGGTGAGTGGGTGGGGAGAGAGATCCGCTGGCTTTGCAGCCCCTGCGGGCTCGCAGAGCTGACGTAAATGAGCCAGAGGAAACACCAGATAGAGCTGGCTGGGAAAGTTTTCCCGTCCCATGAAAAATTGAGGTATTGAAAAATGTTCCTCTCCCAAACGGAGACGAAAAGTCGAAACCTCAAAAAATTCTGCCATCTGAAAATCCAAAAGATTTCCAGTTCTGGCCCCATTGAAACGTTTTGTTTCAATTTCAACCTTTTTTTTTTCTTTTCTTTTACACCTTTGTCTAAGTCTCAGTTTACCAAGCATGTCATTCTACCACGCGCCTGGGGATTGGCAGCATCTTGATAGTCATTACTGGTCACAACCACCGCATCCACCCTCCAAGGACAGCTCAGCACACAGGCGTTTCATGGAAAGCGGGAGAGGAAATTTTCAAAGGCTCAACATTCCCACTGAAAGTCAATGGGAGTTGGGCGCCTGTTGGGTGGCTGCTGCAGAGCAGAGAACGGCACCGCACCTTCGAAGGTGAGCTGGCACGTACCATAACAGAGATGTGGAGGATCCTTAGCTCCTCTTCCGCTGACTCAGTCTGGGGCTCTTCGGTGGGGTCAGCGCCAGGCAGGCTGGGGGTGCCATCTTGGTGGTGGATGTGGAAGAGCAACGTGCCGTTCTCCAGCCACTGCTGCCTCCAGCGCACCAGGGGAATGTCCTCGGTGTTCCCCGAGATCTCTGGAAAAGGAAACAAGGCTGATGCGTGAACACGGCTATGGTACAGAAAACCCACCGGAAATCCAGTTTACCTCTTTCTAGGGATTAAGTAGAGTGCAAGTGACCTATTTCTGGCTGAGCGTACGTCAAGCAGGCTGCAGCCATCTCTCATCCCAGGATCACTACTGTCTGTTTCACTGCATGCTATCAATGGCCCTTATAATCCCAGAGGATAAATACATTGCAGCTTCCCTCTTCCAAAAATGGGGTGTGCATTAGCAGCCAACTGCAAGTGGATTTAGCAAGGGCAACTGCTGAGAAGCCAGTGAGTAACTGTTATGCAGGTCCATGGCACTTACCACATAAGCCCTGTGACCTGACCATGGAGGCTTGACAGCATAGTTCTGGCCCCAATTCAGCAAAGGACTTAACAGTGTGTGATTAAATCCCTGAACTTCAATGGGAAGATGCAACAACTCCTCATATAGGGTTCAAAAGGCAAAATCTGGAGGTTTGTGTTCCTTTTATTTTAACATAAAAAGGGGGAGGGAGGGACCCATTTTAATTAAATTTGGGATGAACTCAGAATTTTATTGTCCCCAGAAGGGAGGATCTGATGGGAGGGGAGATACAGGACACAACACTAGGGGCAGATTTTTAAAGTATTTAGGAGCCATCGATTTTAGTGGGAATTGGGTGTCTAGATACCTTTAAAAACCTGGACCTTAATCTCGTCCCCTTCTACCTCTATGCAGGAGCAGGGTAGAATTAGGACCCAGCGTTCACTCGGGCAGTAGCCAGCGGCACTCCATGGCAGCATGCAAGTCTGCAGGTGTGTACCCCAGGCATCTCCACCACACCCATACCCTCAGCAACTGGTGCCCATGGCTCCTTTTCTGGAGCGACATTTAGGAGCACGCTAGAGTGGCTCTTTGCAGGCAGGATGGCTAACAGCCCCCTCACTCAGCTATGACTCCTCTGCTCCCCCATACCACCCCCACCACTACATCAAGTATTGCAGATGATGTAAAGTGGGCACAGTTCCATAGATCAGAGCCCACTATGACTTAAATGGGCCACGCTGACGTAACCATGCTGGAGATCTGGCCCCTTATATCTGGAGTGCTGCCTTTTCTCCTAAGGCTAGTCTGGGACACCTGCAACTCTGCTTTGGCATCAGCACCTAGGGGTTTCCATCAGCTTCCCTTTGCAGGGGCACTGCCCAGCCTGCTCCCAAGGTTGTGCTGCCATCGCACACGCACCCAGAACTAACCTTCCAGAGAATGCACCTAAACCTCACTGTGCAGACCAATATGAGTAGTCAAACGATGACATTCACAGCCCTAGGGATACATCCTGCAGGACACACAAGCCTATGACTAGGAGCTTATAGCGCACTTTCTTGTGGCCGCATAAAGTAATCGCTGGTCAAGATGTGCACCCCCGCCAATTCCAGGTAAGTATCAGAGCTGCTCAAACACAAGGCTGCTCTACCTTCTTACAGAGGCTGACAAAGAGGCTAGATGGCCTAGTTTTACCCACAGCTAACAGTGACTCTCCTTTACCTCCAAAGGGCACTGTTACAGGAGCCCAAGGTTGTGATTTCTATTCCCTGTGCTGCATGCGTGTGCTGTAGCTGGGGACTGTGCTTACCGCATGCACGTAGCCATAGCAGGATGGATGGGTTTTAATCATGATTTAAATTAGCAAGCAGGAAACTGCAATTTAACTCACTGATTTTAATCTGGCTTTCCATTTGTACTTTGTAATTATTTTCCGAGAGAAAGGTTCATTTTCACTGGTTGGTAAAATCAACATGTTTTAATGGTTACAACCAAATGTAGCCTTTACACTAAATGCAGTGCTTATTTTTGCTAACCAGGGGGATACACTATGCACACGTTTACTTACTCAGGTACACACCTTAACATGCATTTCTTATTTACTAGATAATGTTTTACTCAAGATTTGTATTAAGCTGCAGTTGGCTGGAAATTCAAATTCAAATTAAATGTGTACAAACAGCAGCATTTTTAAAAAGTTTTATTTAATTATTGAAGAACAATCCTAAATGTGCTGGATACGTGTGAAACTATGCATCTCAAACCACGTTTTGCATTTAAAACTAACTGGTTTATTAATCAAAAGTATTAACTGCAATTAGTTGACAGACTCTTTCTGGTTACCAGGGGCCAAAGTTTCAAAGGTATCCAGATAGGGGTATCAACAGTGTCTAAGCAGGTTAGTTTCCCAACTCCCATTAAAATCAAGGGGAGTCAGGCACCTATATACATTTTCAGTGCCTAAATACCTTTCAAAATCTGACCCCGTGTCCTTCAAGTGCTTAGAATTAGTAGCTCTCCTCTTCTCCCACCTGTTTTTTATTAATAGATTTGAAGAGAAAAACAAGCTTTCCTGCTTTTTCAACTCCTAGTCGGTTTCTCAATGAATGAACCAGTCCAAATGAAGGAAATAGGCTTTCTGCACCTGCTAGCTAAACTGAAATCTAAAGTAATTCAGGCAAAAACTTTTCTGAACAACAGAAACTGAAAGTACTTACATTTGGAAAAATTTAAATACCAGCATTCACTCCATTGTAAAGACTGAAAATAACAGAGCTACTTGATACTGTGCGATATTTATAAAGCTTGAGTTGACAAAAAAAGTTAAAAGATGTTTTCCCCTGATTCTGCATATAATTTAAAAAGCAGCCCCTTTATCTCATTAAAATTTGAGGAGGGCTCATTGATTCAGCACTGTTATAATCATTTAAATGATTTTAATGAACCTAGTAAGTTTCAGCCTTAACATAGGTTATCATTAGTCCAAATTTAACAGGTTTATTTTTTAAAAGAAATGAAAATTTACATTTTAAAAATCCAATTTAAATAAAAACTTTGATTTTTTAAATTTTGTTTAAATGAGATTTTTACCACCCTGAGCCATATCATTTCCTCTCTCGCTCTCTCTCTCTCATCTGCTTCATACAGAGCCATGCCAAAGATAAAATATTCAAGAACGAGAAATATTACATGCTAGGAGACTCCCCTCCATCCTGACCCAACAACCTAAGCCAGAGCCTGTCCACGTTACTGACTTATCTTTCCCATCAAGCACATGTCAGGATTATCCTATGTGCAGGGATATCCTATGTGATCCTGCTCTTGGTAAAACCTACCCCACATAGAAAGAAAATACTTCGCTCCTTTTCAGCAAGGGTTTCCATGTCTTCTGGCTGTGTCTCCTCCTCCTAAGTCCTGGGGTTTTAACAGGTGCTCAAAGAGTTTCTCAACCTGCTCCCAAACCCACTGCACCTCCATGTGAAAAACAGTGCGGGGAAATGTGCACTGAATTTTTTCAGTGTTCTCACCAGGTTCATCTCTAATTTGGTTCCAACTTTTTGGAGTACCTAAACCAGTTTATCTGCTCAGATTAAGAAGGGTTTTAATATGCTATGGACACCACTGACCCATGCCCCAGCACTCCTCTCTGGCCTTATTCAAATATCATCTTCCTTCTATTCCTTCATCCACTGCTTTGTGCAACCAGCTGCCAGTCTGGGATGAACTGAACTCCTAAACCATGCCTCCATATACCACTGGAAAGGGGAGAGTTGGTAACAGGAGTGTAGGGTACTAAGTATCATGGGCCAGACCCTTAGCTGGTGTTAAATGGGTAGAACTGCACCTGCTCACCGCAGCTGAAGATCTGGCCCCACAAAGCCTTATGATGGGATGGCAGAGTCAAGGCGTTGTAGGAAAGCAGTCGAAAAAACCACAGAAAGGGGCAAGAGTAATTTCAAGATCAAAGTTTGAAAGATATTGATGACAGGCCTGCTCCCTGTGTGACTTTCATTAGGCCTTGGAAGTGAAGCTATTAGCACTGGTATTAACTTCTAACACCTATGTTAAAAAATAGCCTGCCTGAGTCAAGGGTTAACAACAGTAGGGAAGACCACTAATTATCCTGTGAAGCGTTAGCCTGGTATCAAATGTGACCTGAGTCCTTAACACGTACAGGAATGCCAGCCTGTAAACACCCCTGCTTGTCCTATAAAGATAATGGCAGCAGCTGATCACTGCCCAGACCATCTGTGAAGGGAGAAACAAGAGGGGAGAGAAAGGAGGTAGGGCGAAGGGAGTAGGAAGGGGAAACAGGAGGAAGAAAGGCAAACTGAGGAGAGGAGCGAGGAGAAAGGGATGGAGAGAGGAAGATCCAAGCTGAAGTCACAGGAGCCCCTTTGATTTATACTAGCTGAGAATCCGGCACACCTAGCTCATTATTGCTCAGTCACCCTAGCGACCTCCGCACATCAAATAAAATCGGATAATATTTAAACTCTAAAATATGTATGAACAGATCACATCATCCATCGTAATGAGCAGGAGTCATTCTAGAGCCACAGCTAGCTCCCGAGAAGAGTCCTGTTCTGAGGCTGTAAGTCCCTCATGGACAATCCTCCTGGCATCTGAAGCCACAGCGCCCTCACGTCAGCTCCTGCTGCACATCCCTAAGGCGCTAAACGGAGAAGTTACCATACTACACACTTGGGGCTAGCTGCAGCGGCTGCTGCATGACCAACTCCCATTAACGTCATTGGTTCCTAAGAGCAAAGGCTTCGAGATCAGGCCCTTGGGGTTCCTCTATGACCATGTGCGGAAGCAGTGTTAATGAGGCCTCTCTCGGTGGCTAAGTATTCCTTGGAGCTTGCTACTTTCTTTGGCATTTCTTTTCTCCTTCTAGTTTACACATCCAGCACTGAGAAGATATTTTCTGTTGTACTGGCACACTCCTGGTCCTACTGAAGTCAATGGGAATTTAAGCATTGACCACTGTGACAGCAGAATTTGGCCCTAACCAAGGTAGGGGGCTTTTTGTGAGCATGTAACAGCAGCCTCAGAGAGATGCTGAATCTGCAAGGGAAGCGGACGGAGAAGTTTCTCTGAACAGCGTTCTCTTCCTTCCCTATTTGAGCCTCTCTAGGAGATGAGCAGGATTCCACAAAGCTAAGCCTGCAGCAC